TATATATATATATATATATATATCCAGAAGCTCATAGGTACAGATACTGTTGCCAAGAGCAGCAGTTGGTGTAAAAGGAAGGGCAAAATGGGTGAACGGTCAAAAGGTACAAACTCCAGTTATATGTCTTGGGATGTAATGTACAACACAGTGACTATAGTTAAAAATAGTTCTATATTTGAAAGTTGCCGAGTAAATCTTAAAAGTTCTCATCACAAGAAAAAATTCTGTAATCGATGGTGAAACTAGACTTACTGTGATCATTTTTCAACATATACAAATATAGAATCACTATTGTACAACTGAAAAAATGTTATATGTCAACTATATCTCAATTTAAAAAAGTGGAAAGATAAAGGGGTTTCCTGCAAGTTCATAAAAAATTCCCAGGAAGAGGGACGCCTGGGTGGCTCACTCGCTTAAGTGTCTGACTTTGGCTCAGGTCATGATCTCACAGTTAGTGAGTTCGAGCCCCATGTCGGGTTCTGTGCTGGCAGCTCAGACCCCAGAACCTGCTTTGGATTCTGTGTCTCCCTCTCTCTCTTCCCCTCCCCCGCGCACGCTCCCGTGCACACACTCTCTCTCTCTCAAAATTAAACATTAAAACAATTATATAAAAAAAAGTTTTCCTAGAAAGATAAATAAAGGGGAAAGGATTCACAGTAAGCATGGAGATCTATGATAATAATATCCAACATGGATATTACCTTATCAACTTTTTAAAATTTAAAATGAACACATAAAAAAGATGTTCAACATCATTAGTCACTGGGGAAATGCAGATCAAAACCACAATGACATACCACTTCACTACCATGAGAATAAGTGCAGGGGAACATGCAGAAAAACTGAAACCCTCATACACTGCTGATGGAAATATAAAATGATACAGTTGTTTGGAAAAGGGTTTTGTAGTTCCTCAAATGCTAAACATAAAGTTGGTTATATATGACTCAGCAATGTTACTCTTTTCTGCCAGGAAACCTGACAATACAGGTTCTGCATGAGTGTTCATAGCATATCTGTAATTAAAAAGTGTAATTAACCAAAAAGTCCATCAACTGATGAAGGAATAAACAAAATGTGGTATATGCACAAAATGGGATATTATTCAATGATAAAAAAGAATGAAGTACACGCTATAACATGCTGAACCTTAAAACATTATGCAAAGAAATAATCCAGACACAAAACACCACATATGGTATGATTCCAATTATATGAAATGTCTAGGACAGACAAATCTAGAGTAACAGAAAGTAGATTAGTGGTTGCCTATGACTAGAGAGGAGGGAGGAAGTGGACAAAAGCTGCTGATGAATACAGAGGTTCTTTCTGGAGTTATAAAAGTGTTCTAAAATTGTGGAGATAGTTGCACAACTCTAAATATACTCTAATTGTACTCTAGAAAAAACACATTGCATTGTATTCTTTAAAAGAGGTAATTTTATGTTATCTGAGTTATATCTCAATAAAGCTGTTACAAAGAAATGAAAAGCCAAGAGATCCCTTTCTTACTGAAAACCTTGAATTCCTTTCATTTTTTAACTGAGCTCAATTTTAAATTGAGCTTAATTCTAACTGTGATGTTAATTTTAAGTAAATCTTAAACCAAATCACAACTTTTAAACAAGTACCTGTTTGCACAGCAGTGTCCTTTTTGGGAGAGGTTGTAGAATTGATACATATATTCATTTTATCACTGATGTCATCCAAGCCATGTCCTAAATTTGAAATGTTGTTAGTAGATTCATTATATTCCACTTGTATTAACTGACAAGAGAAATATGTTATCCAACATAATGACACTTCAGAAATGTTAACAGAAATTATGTATAGCAGCAACTAAATACAAAGAAGACGTTTGGTGTAATCAGGAAGTGTGAACACTGCAATACAAATTTAAAAGGGCTCTCCTAAAGTTTCTTACAAAAAATTACCTGCATTTTAATCTGTTATTGAATTTTAGGGAGATCACTTAATATATTCCTCCAAAAACTGGGTAAAAAAGCAAACATTTTCCCTACTGTGAGCAAAACATAAAGAGAATTTAAGATTACTAGAAAATGTAACATTTAGTATACTCTTAAGGTGATTTCTCAAATAAAATAAGCATTATAGAGTTCCAATAGCTCAAAGTCTGAAATTCCTTAAAAAACATTTAGTTAATTGGTGTGTTAAAGGCACTAAAAATAAGAAATTACTTAAAAGCATCTTCAAAAGATACTATAAGTAAAATTCTTTTTAATTATTTTATTATTTTTAAGTTTATTTATTTAGAGAGAGCGTGGTGCATGAGCAGGGGAGAGGCAGAGAGAGAGAGAGAAAGAATACCGAGCCCAGCGCAGGGTTCAATTCCATGAAATGTGAGTCATGAAGTAAACCAGGATCAAGAGTTGCATGGACTCTCAACCGACTGAGACACCCAGGCACCCCATAAGTAAAATACTAGTGAAGCGCTTACCGCCAAGATTTTTAATCAATCCTGAAGTGTCATGTCCCTTTTGAGCCAATTCTCGGATTCTCTGTTCCTGTTTCAGTCTCTGTGCTAGCTCTTGTGCTCTTTGCATTGTCTGGAATAGCTCATTTGTCTTGAGAGCCATGATTTCCTATTGAGGTGCAAAAAGGTATTAAATACAATTATCAAACACATACAGACTTGACAATTCTGAGTAGATAAGCTACTATGTGTCAGACACTATTCAAGATATTGGGAGAACAGTCTGGGCAAAGTTCCTTCCCTTTTGAAGCTCACATTTTAGTATCTTTTCTCTGTATTTAGTATCTTTTTATCTGTATTAGATCACAAATTTAAGAACCCTTTTACCCACTCAAATTTATAATAAAGTTTTGAAAGCTTCTAAAACCAATGGTCAATTCCATCAGAATTCCATTAAGAGTAAAAATAGATTAAGATGTAGGACACAAGGTTTATACGGGGCGCCTGGGGGGCTTAGTCGGTTAAGCGACTCTGGCTCAGGTCATGATCTCACAGTTTGTGAGTTTGAGCCCCGCATCAGGCAGGCTCTGTGCTGTCAGCTCGGAGCCTAGAGCCTGCTTTGGATTCTGTCTCCCTCTCTCTCTCTCTGCCCTCCTCTGCTTGTGCTGTCCCTCTCTCTCTCTCTCTCTCTCTCTCAATACTAAATAAACATTTAAAAATTTTTTTAAATAAAAACAAAAAAAACCTATAAGGTTTATGGCCACTTCTTGTAATTCAAGCACACGATACTTAGATTTTTTTCATGTATACAGTTATTTCATAGGAGTAGTTAGCTCAGCCTATTCAACATAATCAAATCAGAACCCTGACCATATGCTGTTTCATCAGCTAAGTGTGGAGTGAAGGCTGCAAATGGGAAAAATCAAGAAAATGCAGGCTCTTAGACCCATCTCCCAGCTCCAGAGAAAAGGCTCTAAGGCTCTTCTCCAAACCTCCCAAATCCTTGGCAATCAAATGTCACTGTATGACATGGTACTTGACACAACCATACCTATGCTGTCTGTGCCACTTAATAGAGATGTTTTCCTAGCCAACCAGAGATCTACTCTTTTTGAAAAGACTCTTACTGGGGCACCTGGGTGGCTCAGTTAGTTAAGCATCAGACTCCTGATTTTTGTTCAGGTCATGATCTTACCATTGTGAGATCAAGCCCTACATCAGGCTCTGTGCTGCTTATGGAGCCTGCTTGGGCTTCTCTCTCCCCTTCTTTCTGCCCCTCCCCCACTCAAACATGCTTTTTTTGTCAAAATAAATAAGCTTAAAAAAATCAATTTTTTACTCTAAAATATTATTTATAATGTAAATATTACCATGTTCATGGGCTGGAAGAATTAACACTGCTAAAAGTCCATTCTATCCAAACCAATCTACAGATTCAATGCAGTCCCTATCAAAACACCAATAGTATTTTTCCCAGAACTAGAACAAATAATCCTAAAACTTGTATGGAACCACAAAGGGTCCCAAATAGCCAATGTAATTTGAGAAAGAAGAACAAAACTAAAGGTATCACAATCTCAGATTTGAAGTATATATACTACAAAGCTTTAGTAATCAAAATAGGATAGTAATGGCACAAAACAGACAGAGATCAAAGAGGATAGAGCGCCCAGGAATAAAACCATGCTTAATATGGTCAACTAATCTACAACAGAGGCAAGAATATGCAATGGGAAAAAGAAGTCACTTCAACAAATAGTGCTGGGAAAACTGGACAGTTACAAGCACAAGAATGAAACTGGACCACTTCCTTCACCATACACAAAAATAAACTCAAAATGGATTACAGATCTAAATTGTGAGACCTAAAACCATAAAACTCCTTAAAGAAACATAGGTAGTAACCTTTTGGACACTGGCCTTAGCAACAATTTTCTAGATATGTCTCCTCAAGCTACAGAAACAAAAGTAAAAATAAACTGTTGGGATTACATCAAAATAAAATACTTCTGACCATCCACAAAAGGCAACTTACTGAATGCGAAGGTTATCTATAAACAATGTATGTGAAAAAGAGTTAATATCCAAAATACATAAAGAAGTTATCCAACAACAACCTAAACCTCAAATAACTTGATTTTTTAAAAAAAGGGGAGAAGATTCAAATAGAGGTTTTTCCAAAGACACAGATGACCAACAAACACAGGAAAAGATGCTCAACGACAGGGAAATGCAAATCAAAACCATAATTATACCATCTCACATTGGTCAGACTGGTTAATATCAAAAAGACAAGAAATAACAAGTGTTGGTGAGGATGTAGAGAAAAGGGAACTTTCATACACTGTTGGTGAGAATGGAAATCGGTACAGCCATTGTGGAACAGTATGAACTTTCCTCAAAAAACTAAAAATAGCACTACCATACAATCCAATAATTCCACTACTGAGTATCTGCCTGAGGAAACAAGAGAGATATGCACTCCTATGTTTATTGCAGCATTATTTACAACAGCCAAAATATGGAAGCAACCGAAGTATCCATAGGTAGATGAATGGATAAAGAAGATGTGGTGTATACATATTCTACATTTTATTCGATCATAAGAAAGAATGAGATCTTGACATTTGCAGTAACCTGCATGGACCTAGAGGGTATTATGCTAAGCAAAATAAGTCAGATGGGAAAGACAAATACCATATGAAGTCACTTACATGTGGAATCTAAAAAATATTAAATGAAAAGCAAAACAAAAAACCCCACACAAACACAAAAACAGCCCCACAAACTGGTGGTAGGATGGAGTCAGTAAACGGGTGAAGAGGAGTGGAAGGTACAGGGTTCCAGTTATGTAACGAATAAGTCATGGGGATGAAAGCTACAACATAGGGAATATAGTCAATGGTACTCTAATAGTGTGTATGATGACAGATGGTACCTACGAACACACATAACATACAGGACTGCTGAATCACTATTTTGTATAGCTGAAACTACCATTGTGTGTCAACTGTATTTCAATAAAAAAATTTTTTTAATATATAAATACTTACTTCCTTTTGTTTTTGCTTAAGTATGTCTTCTTCATACTGCTTCTGCATTTCTTCTCGCTCCCGTGCTAAGCGACACTCCTCTTCTTGTTCTTCCTTCTTTCTTTGCTGTTCTTCCAGCTGTTTCTTCCTGCGTTTCTCCTCTACCTGAGCAGTGATAGCTTTCTGGTCATAAATCATAAATGACACAAATTACTGTTACAAATTAAAAAATCCATTTTTAGCATTTGTTTATATTCCTGAAATAAGCTTATCAGTATCAGATGATACACAATACAGTATTACATATATAAGTAAAGTTAAATTGTCAAATTCCCAATCTATTTCTCCCATCTCATCTGTCAAGTTCTACATATGCTTTTTCTTTAACCCCAGGAGGGCTGTTAGAAGAACTAATCCAGAAACAGCTGAGTGCTTAGTGCTTAGCATAATGCCTGGTAAGCAACAGATACTCTATAAATGTCTGTTCACTAAACTAAGAGTAACATTATTAAAAAAAGTTTGTAATACTTATTTTTGAGAGAGAGAGAAAGAGCACAAGTGGGGGAGGGGCAGACAGCGAGGGAGACACAGAATCTGAAGCAGGCTCCAGGCTCTGAGCTGTCAGCACAGAGCCTGACACAGGACTCAAACTCACAAACCCTGACATCATAACCTGAGCCAAAGTCAAACGCTCAATCAACTGAGCCATCCACACGCCCCAAGAGTAACATTTTTAATTAAACTGAATTCTTCATGTATCAGTGATTTTAAAGAATTATTCAGAATTTTAAGTCCCTTTAGTGTTAGACTAAAATTAGGAGAGAAATTAAATCTTAGTCTTTCTTATGTTGTCTGCTAGATTTCTCAATCAGAATTCTACTTCAATGCCCTATATAATTCCCTTACAAAGAACTAATTCTTATCCTGAACAGAATTCAGGAGAACTAAACCAATGAAAAAAAAATAACCAATATTAACTTAAGACTTAGTGCCATTTCATATGTGCAACTTACATATTAAAGACCTCTTCTGGCAGGCAGGTGGCTGGCTGTACTACATGATACTGTCTAGTTCTTAGCATGAATGTAATTTTAATATAATGCCAGTTGAAGTAAGAATTAGATTTATCACAGGATTGGACAGGGCCTGTGCTACACATTTACACTGAAATTTTAACTGCCATTTATTTAGGCATCTGCTGGCTATGACTATTATTTATTAAGGCAAAGAACAATATTTTACAGTGCAATACCTGATGTTCTAACTGTTTTTGTCGTCGCCTGTCACGTTCTTCAATCTGAGCTGGGTCCAAGAGAGCAGTCATAGAACGGAGAAAACTGGCAAGACAGACACTTTAGCTATTCAAAACCCCCAAAAGGTGGGTTTAACAAGGTGCTAAATCACTTTTGTTTCAGATATATCCACTATTCATTTATACTTTAAACAAAAATACCAAACCTAAAATCAATTAAGACATATTATAAATATAACAACAGCTTTTAATAAAGCACAGACTTTCTTAAACATCAATCAATACTGAAGAATAAACTTACTTCGTTTTCTGACTGTTTGCCATAGTCGTATCTTTAAGAGGTTTTGCTATATGTTCCTCCTCTGAAGGTTCAACCTGGCTTCCACTCATAGGTGTATAAACACTGTTGATATCAGCCAGCTCCTGAGTGTCCGGAGAGACACAGAAGTACTCTGGTTGGTTGTATGTTGACCGAGAGGAGAGTTGAGACTGAGAAGCAGGATAGTTCTTTAATGAACCAAAATGCATTGTCCATCTGTCATGTTCCTCACCCTAATCATGATAAGTAAGAATTACTAAGAATTTTTCCAATTGTTCACATGTATAAAGTCCTATACAACAAACACAATTAAAAAAAAAATTTTTTTTAATGTTTATTTGTTTATTCTGTGGGGGAGGGGGGGTGCAGAGAGAGGGAGAGAGAGAATCCCAAGCTGGTTCCACACTGTCAGTGCACAGCACGATGCAGGGCTCAAACCCACAAACCATGAGATCATGACCTGAGCCGAAATCAAGAGTCGGATCCTTAACCGACTGAGCCACCTAGGCACCCCTCAAACACGATTTTTAAAAGTTACCACAGAACAGAATAAGAATAAAATTAATGAAACTACATTCTTTATTGATTCCATATACATTTTGGTAACTAGCTTCAAGAATATGAGAAATTCAAAGAATTAGGAAATTCCTAAGAAGTTAGTTTTAAGTATGCAAAATCACACTAAATGCATTCAATAAAAGTTTCAGAAGAACAACTGTGTAAGAATTTGAATAGTGTAGTCTTGTCAAATAGTTTCAGGATATTTTTATGTTTATGATTAAAGACTTTGAAATTATTTTTTTCACCTTTATATCCACATATATTTGCCACCTTACCTTTGAAGATGTAATTTTTTCCTCTGTTTTTCTTTGCCGATCATCCTCTATTTGTTTGTTCAAATCTTCGATCCATTTTCTCTGCTGTTCTTGTTTCACAGCATTGAAAGAGTGCTCCAGTGGTACTGCTTCCTAAACAAGAGTCATCAATACTAGCTGAAGTTCGCTTCTCTTTTTGTAACCACTTCATATTTATAAATCCTGCCAAGAACTTATATAGATTTAAGAAGAAAGGCACTGATCTCTAAGAGGAACAATAATTTTAAAGAAAAAAATTTGAGTTATACAATTAAATAGATCTGTTCCAATTTCTAGAATCATACTTGTAACATACAGAAGTAGAGAACACAGTAAGGTAACTAAAAGTAAAAAAAGGAATTTTATAATAAAAAATTCTTTTTCTAAAATAATTATAAGATTTTTAAAAGTTTTTCCTAATAGTTTCATTTAGACTTTGAAAGGAGTTACTGATCATTTAAGTTAGATGTAAAATACTGTTTTACATCTGGCTTCAGAACACAGGAAATACTGCCTCTGGACCAAGAGCCAGGAAGATATGAGTACCAGAGGCTTTCTCTATTGAATCATAATGTCTCTCTAGAGATCCCTCTTTTCCATTTCTACTGCTACAGCCTTATCACAGTAGATGACATTTCAATAAGATAAACATATTGTGTCTAGGTTAAGTCCTTGAATTCTAAGGACTTTAAGGAAAAAAACAAAAATTAGAATAGTAGCATAAAAATTTGTTGTTGCTTCTCAATTTATGAAAATTTAGGATACTCTAACAAAAAGAAAATAATATATACTACTCAAACTGTCCTGAAATGCACCAGCTAAGTAACAAACATACTGTTACACGAAATAACTGCAGGACATAATTTAAAAAAAAAGCTTGATAGACTACTACAGTCACAATATATCTCATAATGCTACTTTCTACCTTTGTTTTTAACAGAAACAATGGCAATTGACAAACTGCTTTAGTTAAAGGAAGGAAATATTTATACAAGAAAAAATTTTAGTATCTCATGTATTCTTACATGTTTTAAAGAGATAAAAACCGTCACATTTCCTTAAGCCTAAAAGAGTCACTTCAAAAGAAGCATTATCTTCAAGTAAGTAATTCAACAATTCTATTTCTAGAAATATGATTTTGAAGATCAAAATGGAAAAGAAGCAAATGTCCCTTTTTACCTCCTTACAAGACTTTCTCAACATCGCACTCAATCATTTTAGACTCTGTCATCTGTTTAAGTCTGATTTAACTAGACGTGGTTTCAAATTTCAGTCGAGTTACAAATTATTCAGTTTAGGTACAAGTCAAAATTACCCTTGAAAATTCCTAAAATCACTCACAAAATGTTTTGTATACGTGTCTTTACAACCCTATGGAAAACTTAATGAGTTCATTTCTCTTAAATATAGAGAACAAAGAGAGGGTTGCTGGATGGGCTGGGGGAGGAGGGATGGGCTAAATGGGTAAGGGGCAGTAAGGAATCTACTCCTGAAATCACTGTTGTACTATATGCTAATTTGGATGTAAATTAAAAAATAATTTTTAAAAAATCAGTTTTTAATTCAGTCTTCCACTTCCTACTCAAGGATGTCTTATAACTTCCTTACCACTTGAATAATTCGTTTTACTTCTCTAACTTACTAGGAAACACTTAAAATTATTATTTTCTCTTGGGGCACCTGGGTGGCTCAGTCGGTTGAGCGTCCAACTCTTAATTTCAGCTCAGGTCATGATCTCACGGTTCACGGGTTTGAGTCCCATGTCAGGCTCTGTGCTAATGTCACAGAACCTGCTTGGGATTCTCTCTCTGCCCCTCCCCTGCTCACACTCTCTCAAAATAGACTTAAAGAAATTTTAAAAATTAGTTATTATTGAATTTTTGGGGTTTTAAAAGATATAGTCTAGATACAGCCCTTTATCAGGTAATTTGCAAATATTTTCTCCATGTATTTTATAATCTAACAGTAATATTCGCAGAGTACTTTTTAAAGTTTAGAGAGAGAGAGAGAGAGAGAGAGAGAAAGCGCAAACCCACAAACCCTGAGATCGTGACCTGAGCCAAAGTCAGACACTTAACCAACTAAGCCACCCAGGTGCCCTCAAAGAGAACTTTTCAAATTTATTTTCAAGTTAGTTAACATATAGTCTTGGCTTCAGTAGAGCCCAGTGATTCATCTCTTACCATATGACACCCAGTGCTCATCCCAGAAAGTACCGTCCTTAATGCCCATCACCCATTTAACCCAACTGCCACCCTCCCTTCCTGCCCCAGCAACCCTCAGTTTTGTTCTCTGTATTTAAGAGTCTCTTATGGTTTGCCTCCCTCTTTGTTTTTATTTTTCCTTCCCTTCCCCTATGCTCATCTGTTGAGTTTCTCAAATTGCACATGAGTGAAATCATAGGATATCTTTCTCTGATTGACTTATTTCGCTTATCATAATACCCTCCAGTTCTAGCCACATTGTTGCAAACAGCAAGGTTCCATTACTTTTCATCACCAAGTAGCATTCCATTGTGTGTGTATGTATAAATATATACCACACCTTCTTTATCCATTCATCAGTTGGTGGACATTTGGGCCACCAGTGTTGTGTCCTTGATGTCAGCATATTTTTATATCTTAACCCTTTGATTAAATTTACCTGTCATTCCTCAAAATACAAGGGAGTATCATTGACTTCTGAATGTTAAACCCAGCCTGTGTTCCTTGAATAAACCCAACTCATCATGATGTACCATTTAAAATTCTTCTCTTTCTTGTACTGTCAAGTTTTCATATCAAAATATTTGTCTTGTCAGCTTTGAGTATCAGGTTTTGTTTATTCCACTCTCATAAACCTTGAAAAGCTTTCTCTTCTACTTTAATTACGTGGAAGAATTCACCAATAAAAATGTCTGGGCCTTGGGTTTATTTTGTGAGATTTTTAATGATGGAGTCCAGCTCTTTAATAAATAGGTTCACCAAGATTTTCCATTTCATGTGTCAATTTTAGTAATTTGTTTTTTCTAATATTTTGTCCATTTTCATAAATTCTCTAATGTACTGACAAAAGTTCATGTATTCTCTTACCTTTTTTTTAAGCTTATTTTTGAGAAAGAGTGAGCACAAGCTTGGGAGTGGTAGAGGGAGAGGGGGACAGAGGATCTGAAGCAAGCTCCATACTGGCAGCAGGGAGCCCAATGTGAGGGTCAAACTCACGATCCGTGAGACCATGACCTAAGCTGAAATCAGATGCTCAACCAACTGAGCTACCAGGTACTCCCATTCTTACCTTTTTAATGTCCATAGACCCTTTAGTGGTATCCCCTTTTTCACTCATGCCAGTCTTCACAAGGGGTTTATCAATTTAAACACCTTTATAAAGGACTACTGTTGATCTCTTAATTCTGTATATTTATTTCCAATTTTACTAATATCCACTCTGATCTTATTTCCCTCCTTCTACTTGTTTTGGGTATAATTTTTGCTCTTCTTTCTCTAACTTCTTGAATGAATTACTTAGATCATTAATGTTTTGTCTTCCAGTCTTCCTTTTTCGAGAAATGGATTTAAGTCTATAAACTTACCTCTAAGCACAGAAAACCCATGTTTTTATAAGCAATATTTTCATTGTCAGAGTTCATATACTTTGTTTTTCATTCACACAGAACTATATTGTTTAAATATTAAACATTTGGAAATTTTCTTTTTACTGTTTGTTACTGATATCTAGCTTAATTCCACTGTGATCAGGTAACATATTCTGTGTAATCTGAACCTATGAAATTTGTTAAAATTTTATGGCCTTTCAAATTATTAATCCTTTTTGTCCATAGATGTTTTAGGTTTTATTTCTATATAAATGAAAAATCATTACAATTTTATTTTTTCTTTTCCAGTTCTTATGACTTAATTTTGTCCCCTTGTCTTGCTATACTGGCTAGGACCAATCAATAACAAATAATAATTTGAACATCTTATCTCCTTATGGAATACTTCTAAAATTTCTCACTTAGGATGTTAGCTTTAGGGTTTTGTTTTTTAACTCCAGTATAGTTAACATACAATGTTCTACTAGTTTCAGATGTACAATATAGTGATTCAACAATTCTACACATTACTCAGTGCTCATCAAGTATACTCTTAATCCCCTCCACCTATTTCACCCATCCCCC